AAAAAAAAAAACTATGTAGACATGACTGGGAGGGGTGGCTCATGCATGTAATCCTAGCACTCTTAAAGGCTGAGGCGGGTGGATTGCTTGAGCCCCTGAGTTCCAAATCAGCCTGAGCAAAATTAAGACCCCATCTCTACTAAAAATAGAAAAACTAAGGCGAGAAGATCACTTGAAACTAAGAGTTGAAGATTGCTGTGAGCTATGATACCATGGTATTCTACTCAGGGTGACAGCTTGAGACTCAGTTTGTTGAGACTCAACTGAAAAAAAAAAATTTACATACAAATTTATGGACTTCACGATGAAATGACAGACATTAAATAAATATAGGAAGGCCAGGCACGGTGGCTCACTCCTTCAATCCTAAGACTCTTGAGGTCCAAGGTGGGTGGATTTCTTGAGCTCTCGGGTTCAAGACCAGCCTAAACGAGTGAGAGAGACCCCATCTATAAGAAAATATGTGGGTGTTTTGGCTAGCGTCTATAGTACAAGCAACTCTAGAGGCTCAGACAAAAGGATCGTTTCAGCCCAGGAAGTTGAGGTTGCTTTGAGCTATCATGCCATGGAACTATAACGGAGGCAATGAAGTGAGACTCTATCTCAAAAAAATAAAATAGGCTCGGTGCCTGTGGCTCAAGTGGCTTAGAGGCCAGCCACATACACCCAAGGTGGCAGGTTTGAATCCAGCCCAGACCACCAAACAACAGTGACAGCTGCCGGGTTTGAATCCAGCCTGGGCCACCAAACAACAATGATGGCTGCAACAAAAAAATAGCTGGGTGTTGTGGTCCCAGCTACTCGGGAGGCTGAGGCAGAAGACTCACTTAAGCCCAGGAGTTAGAGGTTGCTGTGAGCTGTGATGCCACAGCACTCTACCTAGGGGTACAGATTGAGGCTCCTGTCTCCAAAATAAATAAATAAATAAAATAAAATGAGTACAGATAGGGATTCTGGAATTCCTATTCATTCTCTAAATTATTTGCTACATAAGTTGAAATTCTAACACATAGTTCTGAATATTTAAATCTAAAATTACAGAAAATTGAACACAAAATAAAATAAAATGTGAAAACAGAGACAGAGACAGTAAAACCTGTAAAACAGCAGAATACAAGTCCCATCTTCACGTATTCCTCCCAAGGGAGTCATCCATAGGGAAAAATGCTTCAGTGAGAGCCCAGCACACGGACTCACACCTGTCATCTCACCTACTTACAGGCTGAGGTGAGAGGAACACTTCAGTCCAACAGTTTGACTGTAGCCTAGGCAATACAATGAGTTGCCAGCTCACAATAAGTGATGTTATGAGAGCTTTAGAATCCAGGGAGGTTGTGAAATCCTCCTAATGCCCTTAAGGAGGGTCACTCAGAGAAGGCCGACCCTCATTCACTTAGCAAACTAGAGGATCCCTGGTCTGGGTTACTGACTGGAGAATGGCCTGCTCACCTTTGTCCCATTGAGAATTCTGAAGGGACAATGTGGGAGTCTCTAACTTCTCCCAGGCATGATGTGGGAGTGGTGATACCCATCCAGAGACCTGGAGGGAAATGTTCACTCATGACCATGGAGACAGGCCTGCAGACATGGGTACTTTGTGTGTGTGTGTGTTTATGTTATTTGTGGGTATGTACGTATATGTGTACTATTTGTGTGTATATATATGTGGGCATATGTGTATGTGTATATACATACTATTTGTGTGTGCATATATATGTATGAACTATTTTTTGTGTGTATATGTATTTTTGTGTATATATGCACAATATTTGTGTGTGTGTACATATACGCATATTCACACACACAAATAGTATATATGTGTGTACACACACACATTAGAACCTCCATAGTGAGCCATCTCCCAACATTGACCATCTCCTGAACTTGACCTGATTTTCATAGAGCAGACGTACACCACAGGTGTGTATTGCTACAGCAGGCCTGGTTCCTTATGCTAATCGCCTCTGTGTGTTGACAAGTTTATTATAGTCCCTTGAGTGGTCAACTTGCAGAGGTTCTTCTGCCTGCATGTCCGTGTCTGTGTGTGTATGAATAAGCATATTCTAAGCCAGAGAGACTTATAAAATAAGAATTATATTGTAATAACAGAGACACTGACATATCCTCAGAAATAATTTAAAATCCTAAATGACATAATATTATTAAGAAATGTAGGCTCAGTGCTTGTAGCTCAAGCGGCTAAGGCACCAGCTACATACACCAGATCTGGTGGGTTTGAATCCAGTTAAGGCATGCAAAACAACAATAACAACTATAACCAAAAAATAGCTGAACCTTAAGGAGGGCGCCTGTAGTCCCAGCTACTTGGGAGACTGAGGCAAGAGAATTGCTTAGACCTAGCTGCTGGAGGTTGGTATGAGCTATGGCACTCTACCCAGGGTGACAGCTTGAGACTCTGTCAAAAAAAAAGTGTAGCAGTCAGATGTGAGAAATCATACCTCTAATCCTAACCCTCAGGGAGGCGACAAAGTGAGACTTTGTCTCTAAAAAAAAAAAAAGAAAGAAAAAGATGGCGTGGGTAGCTCAGTGGGTAATTTCTGCAGGTTTAAACGTGGCCCGGGCCAGCAAAAACAACAATGACAATTACAACAAATAAAATAGACAGGCGGGCGGCACCTGTGGCTCAAGGAGTAGAGTGCCACCCCC